CTGATACCCACCAACACGTAATTGATATATATAATGAAAGGTTGTTAATGAATCATTGCTCGTACCATCAGTGGCATGGATCTCTCTACATATAGCAGCCGCCTGCATTTTCCTCTCCTGTGTTGACATCAGAGTATGCTGAGACATGCTGTCTGTTAAAAACAAAGTTAGGGAATGTGAGTCTCCTACATTTTGGCCCTTACCATCTCACACATTTTCAGACACTACACAACAGACCGAACACATAATCACATTCATAGTCCAGCCGACTATGTGATATTTATTACACCTGCTGAAAGGCTGACACTAGCACATCCCTTTAAATAACCCCCAGCAATTAAACACAGCCCAGCAAAGGCAGCGCTCCCGTGAAGTGCGGGGGACTGTGATTCGATACGGTAGATATAGACCCAGCTGGACAGGACGCTGCTGAAGGGTGTGATGTCACACCACACGAAAGGGGAAGGTGGTAATTTGTGTCTACATCCATTTCTGTGCTCTTACATGCTGTGACTGAAGTCTGTAATCTCTAATGGAAAGCTGTCTAACAGGGCAGAATACCCACCAGTGTTTTATAGATACTAAAACTAAAAGTATACTGACAAACCCTGACATAATCATTGAAATTATAAATTGTAACTGTACACTCTAAAAATGCTGGGTTAAATACAACCCATTTTAACTAGAGTGTAGTTAAAATGACTGAAGTAAAAAATTAAATAAAAATAATCCTAAATAGAAGTATATAAAATACATAAAATTATACAAAGCTGATTAAAATATTCATAAATACTATAATAGTAATATAGAAATAATGCTAAAACATCACTGATACCCACCAACTGCAAAGATGATAATTAACAAAAAGTTTATTTTACCATTTGCATGTACAGTACCATGGTATTTACACGGTACTTCAAATAATACTACTAGTAGTTTTAATAATCTTTTGTCGTGCTTTAAATAAGTACACTTATTTTAATGTGTTAACGAACATACTAAAGCACATGTAAAGTACTTGATTATAATTTTTACTGTAGTTAATATAGGTAGTAAAATGTAATATATTTAAATGTACTAAATTGCAACTTAATCATTACAAATGGGTAATTACAAATATATTTAAATACACGACATACAAGTTTCAATAGAAATGGCAATCAAATATATTTTAGTTTGCCATAAATGATTATCAGTCAATTCAGCACTTTAACCATATTTCAAATACAATAGAAGCAATTATGAAGTTACGTATAAATATGTACTTAGTGAGTCAAAAATCACTCTAATTAAAGTTCAGCTTATTGCATTTAATATTCATTTAAACTATAATACATTTTCATTTGATTGTAATTGACATGCAGTTAAGTATCCAAAAACATTACATTCAGTTGGCACTTAAGTTTATTCTTTTAAAGTGTTTCCATAATAAGTACGACTTTTTTTTCAAAGTATAATTAAGTGTACTTCTTTTCACAAGAATATTACATAGGCAAACAAACAAACAAACAAACAAACAAACAAACAAACAAACAAACAAACAAACAAACAAACAAACAAACAAACAAACAAACAAACAAACAAACAAACAAACAAACAAACAAACAAACAAACAAACAAACAAACAAACAAACAAACAAACAAACAAACAAACAAACAAACAAACAAACAAACAAACAAACAAACAAACAAACAAACAAACAAACAAACAAACAAACAACAAACAAACATACAAACAAACAAACAAACAAACAAATAAATAAATAAATAAATGTTACCAAAAATAGTTAGGTAGGGTATACTGTGTAAACTTCATCCTCAGTATTTAGTTTAATGCATTTCAGTTAATTCTCACAACAGATTTCACAAATACAAACAGTTACAAAAACAAATGCAGTTAAGTATCCAAAAACATTACATTCAGTTGGCACTTAAGTTTATTCTTTTAAAGTGTTTCCATAATAAGTACGACTTTTTTTTCAAAGTATAATTAAGTGTACTTCTTTTCACAATAATATTACATAGGCAAACAAACAAACAAACAAACAAACAATCAAACAAACATACATACATACAAACAAACAAACAAACAAACAATCAAACAAACATACAAACAAACAAACAAACAAACAAATAAATAAATAAATAAATAAATGTTACCAAAAATAGTTAGGTAGGGTATACTGTGTAAACTTCATCCTCAGTATTTAGTTTAATGCATTTCAGTTAATTCTCACAACAGATTTCACAAATACACAAATGACATCAGTATGTGAATCCAACAGTGTGCAAATATCATATATGACCAGCATAACCCAGTTAGTGAGAGTTGACCGTTGATGAAGGCAGTCAGAAAGCTTGACAGGACTTTTAACAAACTGTACACGTGTCCCTGCTGCATGAGCGGCTGAGGCAGGGCTCTTACCTGCGCCGTGTCGAGGGGTCAGTCTGGATCTGTGCTGGTTTTCTCTCTGAGCAGGATTGGGGGGCTCTGGCCAAACGGAGGGCTGTCAGAGCGATGGCCAGCTATTAGTCTGCCGGCTTTCACTAGCATGCAGTTATAAATAGCACTGATCGCACACACAAACAGACATACGTTGACACTTTTGAGTGTGACGGAGACAGCAGGTGTCTGCTCTGGTTATGACTTCACTGTGTTTGTACAGTTCATTCATTCTTAGGTTTCAATTCGGTCAACCAAGGTTTGGTTAACATGGTCAATGGCCTAGTTTCTACTGTGAATGAGTGTAATATGATTTGCATAGTCATTTGTAATCTACTAATCAAAACTGAGGCACTATATGCAGAAATATTGCTTGATGTGACAGATGACTAATTGTATTGTGTATATGAAGTTAGATGGTTTTGTCCAGGATTCTAACACCCTCATTTCCTTCATCCTTCCCATAAAGCACAAATAAAAATGTCACTACCAGTAATGTGTCATGTGATGCCTCTTAATCAATCATTACACCGAAGATGTGAGGAAATACTTTTACAGTGTGATCACTGGTATCTTTGGACTTTTACAAGCATATCCGTGGTATTATAGTATAGGCCTACTACTATAAATAATAAAATATATTCCTAATTTATGTATATTATTATGTGGACTCATACATATTTATATAAGGCTGTAATGCAATTTAACTGACACTATAATATCCTCCAGCATATATATCCCAAAAGGCAGATTCATTGCAGAAGCCTATTTTGAACAGGGTTCAGTCTTCAATGTCAGCTGCCACATGGTTCAGTTGTATGACAAGTACGAGCTCAGGAGTCGAGCCAAGCCTCGCAAACCATTATATAACAAGACAGCAACTTGTTACAGACGGCTGGGCTGAAAATGACTCTCCCTCAGGCTTGATTTCTCACAAAATATGTGGCGTGCTCGAGTTTTTTACTCCAGAAACTCCCCAAAGAATTCAAAAAGCAACTACAGCGGAGAGCTTTTTAACATGTTACTTTAATACAAGCGCAAAGCACGGTTTTATGTCAGCCACATACAGAGCTGTAGAAAGTATAAATCAGACAAGTCACTTAATACTGAACACCTCTCTGATGCACTTGACAGTTCAACAAATCTTTTTGTATGTTGATCAGCAATATATAAATCAAACACGTCAAACTGATAACCTTCTCATAGAAAACTTCAGTAATGGAATACAGAAATAGAAGTATGAACAACTCAGATATAGCAGAAATTAACATAATTTTTAAGTGGAAAGAGAGAATGCATTGTCACATATGAAACCTC